AAAACATTTTTTGTATAAAAACAAAATATTAGTTTATTTAAAAATTGCTTCCACCGTCCGTCCCGTCCGCTTGACTGGCGGGGGGGATCGGGATTCGGCCTTCATGATTACTTGAGGCCGGGGGTCTGGCAATGGCCTTCTGCGAGTCACCAGCTTCGCAGTGACCAGAGGAGCTCTGAGCACGCAAGGCTGGGATCCGGAACCCGAGCCCCCAATCAGCACAACAAAGGATCTTCCACAGTGACCAGCGGAACTCAGAGCCAGGGAGATGACGCCCTGCCCGGCATGACGCTCCGAGGCTCCGGGGGGAGGACCGAGGACCGGGGTAGACCAGCAGAGCTCCATCCAGTTTGCTCTGAATTTTGTAGTCGGCCATTAAGCACAAAAAATGCCAGCACGTCAGCAAAAGACCAAGACGTTGTCATTATTGTTTTTAAAATCTTTAAAAGAAGTCCAGCCACTCCTCCAGTCTGAGAAATTGCAAATGGCGGATCATTGTTTTGAAAAGTTTCTGAAGGATCCAGTGACTCCACCCCCGACTAATCAGTGACCGACAGCGTTTTGACGTCACGTTTTAGTACCTCTTCATTCGGGTTAGAACCACAGAGCCAAGGGTCCTGAAAATAGTAACAGGTTCTAAGTACCGGTACTAATGGAAAAGCCTCGGAACCGGGTGGAGTCGGGCCATACCGGTACTAATGGAAAAGGGGCATATGTGTTTTAATACTTGGGGTGGATTTTCATGCCAGAGTTCTTGGGTCCGTTCCAGCTTCGAATTTCCGACCATGTTCTAACAGTTCAAGTTTACAGTTTGAAGTTTCTCAAAGTTTTTTTTTGGTCAATTACAGAATCGTATTAACAACAACTCAGATAACTTCAGTCTGACACAAAGAGAAACTGTTTAAGTGCTTGTTGGGGGGGCAGTGTAATGACTGGCTCCTCTTACATGCACCAGTCTTTGAACAGATAAGTCCACATGAAGGCCACCAGGTCAACCAATCACATTTCCCCCCACAAAGAAACTGACTTTACTTAGAACCAGAGTGACGTACACAGGAGCAGAACTGCACCTGCAGCTTGATGATCCACAGTGTGATCACATATGAAAGAAGAATGCTAAAACATTTCACATGAACCTTTTATTTGTTTTAAAAATTACCTCATCTTTTCTTCTTGCTGTAATTTTTTGGAACAAGAACAGAAGCAGCTTAGTAGTAGTGATGTTTTCCTGTAGATGATGCCTGAAATTAAATTTAGTTTTTGTTCCCAAAAAAAAAAAAAAAAAAAAAAAAAAAAACCATGGAAAAGAATAGTTAAGGGGAGTGAGAAAGGCTGGGGGGTGGGGAGGTCTTCTCAGATCCAGTAATGTGCCTGGTGGATTTAAGGCCCTCAGACTCTCCAGACTGCTGACCACATGAGAGGAACGGAGGAGAACGTGTGGAGCTCAGATGATCCCAGGACATCAGAACCCATCAACCCAAACAGTCAGGTTCCTTTCTGCCAGGGTCCGGTTCACTGAAATCACCTGGAAGAACAGGACAGATACTGAAAGACGGACCACACAAGTTTCTGTCACCTCCTTATTAAATATTTATATTTAATGAGTTGAATCTGTTGGTGCTGGTCCACTGGGTTTACTGAAGTCCTCAGTCCAGGTAAGACACATGTGATGTTGTCCCTGGTTCAGGAGTGGGCTTACTCGAAGAATGCAACATTTGTATGTCTAGGGTTTGTTTATGAACAGTGTGCAAGAGATTTCAATGTGAACCTTTATCACAATATTCTAATTTTCTGAGATAATGAGTTTTGGTTTTTCATTATTTGCCATAATCATCAAAATTGCAAAAAATGAAGGTTTTCAATATTTCACTATGTGTAACAAATCTATACAAGAGTTTCACTTTATGAAGTGATTGAGAAAAATTTATACTTTAACTTTTTCAAGATATTCTAAATTTAATTTCATTTTATATATTTATTTATTTCAATTAGGACAGTGCATATTAATCAACATGTCACAGAGCATCAATGTAAATATGCCTGAGTTAGCACAACAGCTAATATTCATCCGTTGTCCTAAGGCAGGTAAGAACAAGAAACATCCCATCAGGCTACCTTCTGCTCGTTGTGACGTTGCACGTTTGTGGTGAGATGTATTGTGTCATTTCCTGTTTGTCTGTCAATAGCTCGAGTGAATTGTTTGCTTGAGTCGTCTCTGTTTTCTGGATTTATCTGTCTTTTGCACAGTTTTCCATTCTAGTTCACAAACACACTTAGTACAGTTGTTCTACTGTTGGATAGTGCTTAAATCACCTTTTATCTTTCAACACTTCTCAGTTTTTATTGGTGTATTTGGCTCTGCTAGCTCCTGCTAGCGTTAGCTTAGCATGGCTGCTGCTTCTCTCCCTGCTTCCTGTGTTTTCTCTTGCTCCGCGTGTCAGATGTTTAGTTACTCCTCTGCCTCCTTTAGTGGTAATGATACATGTAACAAATGTAGTCTTATGGTAGCTTTGGAGGAGAGGCTGTCTGAACTGGAAGCTCGGCTCCTTGCTGTAGAAAAACCAGTAACTAGTCAGGTCCCCTTAGACAGCGCGGAACCACAGAGGCTAGCTCCTGTTAGTGGTCCTCCAGCAGACCCCGAGCAGCCGAGACCCCAGGCCGGTTGGGTGACGGTCCGGAGCAAGTGTAGTACTAAGGCTAAGCCCTCAGTTCACCACTGACCCGTTCACATTTCTAATCGATTTTCCTCGCTCAGTGACACACCCGCTGAGAAGCAGACCCTGGTTATTGGAAGCTCCATAGTCCGAAACGTGTCTTTAGGGATTCCAGCGGCCATAGTCAAATGCATTCTGGGGGCCAGAGCGGGCGACATGGAATCTTATCTGAAACTGCTGACTAAGGCCAAGGCTAAATACAGTAAGATTGTTATTCACGTCGGCGGTAATGACACCCGGCCAATCGGAGGTCACTAAAATTAATGTTGCTTCAGTGTGTGACTTTGCCAAAACCATGTCGGACTCCATAGTTTTCTCCGGCCCCCTCCCCAACATGACCAGCGATGACATGTTTAGCTGTATGTCGTTGTTTAACCGCTGGGTGTCCAGGTGGTGTTCTGACAACGACGTGGGCTACAAAGATAACTGGAGTTCTTTCTTGGGAAAACCTGGTCTGATGCGGAGAGATGGAATCCATCCCACTTTGGACGGAGTCGCTCTTCTTTCTAGAAATATGGCTGATTTTGTTTATCCTCCAAATTATTGACAACCCAGGGTCCAGTCCAGGAAGCAGAGTTGTAGTCCTCCACCCCTCTCTGCTGCTTCTCCTCTGTTACCCACCCACACCCCCATTGAAACAGTGTCAACTCGCCCACGGCTCAAATTAAATAAACCAAAAATCAGCTCTAAAAATATAAACCATAAAAAATCTGATTAAAATAAACAGTTACTTTACCAGAGCAAAATCATAAAATCATTAAATGTGGATTATTGAACATCAGATCTGTTTCCTCTAAATCCCTGTTAGTTAATGAACTGATAACTGATAATCATATTGATTTATTGTGGCTGACAGAAACTTGGCTACAACAGGAGGATTTTGTTGGTATAAATGAATCCACTCCTGTTAATTATTTAAATTTTCATGTTCCTAGAACAACTGGCCGAGGTGGAGGAGTAGCTTCTATTTTTCAGTCAGGATTATTGATTAATGCCAAATCAGTTATTAGTTATGATTCTTTTGAATCGCTGTCCCTCAGTCTTTCTCATCCAAAATGGAAATCACAAAAGACACTTTTACTAGTTGTTATATATTGTCCACCAGGAGCTTACTCTCAGTTTTTGTCTGAATTCTCAGAATAATTAACTGACTTATTATTAAATACTGATAAAATCATCATAATGGGTGATTTCAATATTCATGTGGATGTTGAGAGTGATAGTTTAAGCATAGCCTTTAATAATTTAATAGAGTCATTTGGTTTTACCCAAAAACGTCCGCACATCTACTCATTAATAATAATAATATTCAAAAAGCGCCTTTCAGGACACCCAAGGACACTTTACAGTAAGAAACATATCAGAAAGATTATGTAAAAACAAACAACAAGCACAGTGCAAAGAGCAACAGGAAAGAAATGAAATATAAAATACATAAAGAATATAAAATACAAACAGGATATAAAATACATACAGAATATAAAATACATAAAGAATATAAAATACATTAAGAATATAAAATACATACAGCAAAGTTAAGGATAAGCGAGTCTAAAGAGATGTGTTTTCAGAGCATTCTTGAATAGAGAAAGAGAGGTGGTGTTTCTTAAGTCAGGGGGTAGAGAGTTCCAGAGATGAGGAGCAGAGCAGGTGAAGGCCCTGCTCCCCATGGTGGAGAGGCGGGCGGAGGGTACATGGAGGTGTAGTGAAGAGGAGGATCTGAGAGAGCGAGACAGGATGGAGATGTGTAGGAGGTCAGACAGGTACAGAGGGGCAAGGTTGTGGATAGCTTTGAAAGTGAGAAGAAGAATTTTGAAGACGATGCGTGATTTAACAGGGAGCCAGTTGAGCTGCTGCAGGACAGGAGTGATGTGGTTATAGGAGGAGGTTTGAGTGATGACACGGGCAGCTGAGTTCTGGAACAATTGCAGCATCTGGAGAGATTTGTTGGAGAGGCCATAAAGAAGGAAGTTGCAGTAGTCAATCCGAGAAGTCACAAGACTGTGAACAAGGATGGCTGTGGAGCGGGGGGTGAGAGAAGGGCGGAGACGGTTAATATTTCAGAGAAGGAAATAGGCAGACCGAGTGACGTTGGTGATGTGTGAAGTGAAGGAGAGAGTGGTGTCGAGGATGATACCAAGACTCTTGACCTGAGGTGAGGGGGATAGCAGAGAGTTGTTGAGGGGGATGAGAAGATTTTCTGATTGTGACATACCGACAAGAATGATTTCTGTTTTGTCGCTATTTCCTTGTAGGAAATTGTTAGAAAACCAATGATTTAGCTCCCTGAGACAGTCGGTGAGGATGGAGGGTGGGTGGAGTTTGGTTTTGTTGACAAGTAGAGCTGTGTGTCATTAGCATAACAGTGGAAATGGACACCAAATTTGCAGAAGATGTGACCTAGAGGAAGGAGGTAAATGATGAAGAGGAGGGGTTCAAGGACAGAGCCTTGGGGGACACCCGTGGAGACGGGAAGGCTGAGAACGAAAGGATTTAAGATGAATGAATTGAGTGCGGTCAGAGAGAAGATTTGAACCAGTTTAACAGAATACCTGAGATGCCAATGGACGTTAGTCTGTTGAGGAGGATAAAATGACAGATTGTGTCGAAGGCTGAACTTAGATCCAGTAAAATGAGGATAGACAGAAGAGCAGAGTCAGCAGCAAGAAGAAGGTCATTAGTTATTTTTATTAGAGCCGTTTTGGTGCTATGGTGGGGGCGAAAACCAGATTGAAACTCTTCATAAATGTTATTGTTGGATAGGTGAGAGTGAAGTTGACTAGCAACGACTTTTTCCAAGAACCTTGGAAATAAAGGGCAGATTAGAGATTGGACGAAGATTATTGAAGTTGGTAAAGTCAAGACCTGGTTTCTTGATGACGGGGGTGATGGCAGCAGATTTGAAAGCTGTAGGAACAATGCCAGAGGTTAGGGAGGAGTGGATGATGTTGGTGATGATGGGGAGCAGAGACGGGAGACAGGATTTAACAAGAACTGTGGGAAATGGATCGAGCCGACAGAATGAGGTCTTAGACTTGCTGATAATGTCAGCAATGTCATCAGCAAAGGGGAGGGAGAAGACAGAGAAGGGGAGGGAGGGAGGGGGGAGTTC